ATTAGCCACTGATGGTAAGCAAAGGAGAAATTAGTGCGGGTGCCAGAGAATGTTCAGGCATCAGGGTCAAATAAGTGTGTTGTTGGTTAGTTTAATTTTTAATCAGGTTATCCCACCACAGTTCCCTACCTAATCCACAGGTGCCCACCACCACCCAGTCTAGCCCCAAGCCCCGTGCGGTGAACATTTCCTGTAAAATAAAGGCCAAATATCTTGTGGCTCACGTTGTCCGGGCATCATCCTTATGTTTTATTTCTACAGGTAGCACCCAATTCTCCACCATGTATTCTTTCGGACTGACATTAAAAGCAACTTAAATTCTAATTAGAAACACAACATAAGAAGCTGACTGGGCCCACTTTGATAGAATTCTTCCTCCGAATTAAGATGAGGTTTAAAGCTGGGTAACAGGAACTGTCAACCTCAGAAAATAACCTACTTTGGAAAGTTCTTTATTACAATCTGAAAATAGTTTGCTGGCAACTTAAGGGGAAGAGAAAGTGGTGGAGTCTGTACTCTGGGGATGAGCCCCCTGTTTTGATATTTATAGCCACCACGTCACATTAATAAATTCATGTTTTCCCCCAAATGCACACCATTTCTCAAAGATATGTAAAATGAGAAATGGTTTGGTTTCTACATAGATAAATGATGAAACACGCACATGCAGACAATAAAATGGCCTTCTCCATGAGAGCAAAGCGTGATGCTGGGTGCTGCTGGGGATGCGAAATCAAGATACACCGTGTGTCTGCACAGTGGGGAACACACAGTAAAATTGTCCTCACACACTATTAGTTATATTTTCAAATATTATGTTCAATATATTTTGCCAACTTCCAGATAGTTTTTAAGGTTAGGTTCCTTTAAATTTAAAATAAGGAAACCAGTTGTCAAGCTGAAAAAAAATGACAATATACATACAAGATCATGTCCAAATATTCTAGAAACACAACGCAAACAGGGCCATTTTTTCAGATTAACAAAGGGACCCATTATTTTTAATTTGGCAGGACTTTATTGGAGAAGACATCCAGAGGACAAAGACAAATATATTGAGCTGTAATTTGGAAATGTCATTAACACACTACTTGAAATCAAGTTTATCAAAGCCTCTCAATGTTTTGCCCACCCTACAATGAGCTCTTACGCTTAGCATGCCCCATCGGGGTGGGAAAATGATGTAAACAACCACGTCTACACAGGTAACAAACACTACAGGACAAGTGGCTTATGAATTTTAATTCTCAGTATTTTACCCACGTTGACGTCTAGTTCTGGGGATTTGGGTAGTGCCATTAGCAATGATGTAACTATTCATGTTTCAAAACGCACCACTCAGTGTCCTCAGAACAGAAGCACTGGGTCAGGTCGGCACTCGGAGCTGATTTGCAAGGCTGAGCGTTAATATCTCCACCTCCAGGGACTTCAGACTAAGGAGCTGAAGGGATCAGAGGACACAACACAGACGTGAGTAGACATGACGAGTGTGTACATTCTCACACTTAGTTCTCATGTTTCATAGATGAGGAAACAAAAGGAGGGTTAGAACAGTAACCCAGCTTATTCCCTTATATCCTGAGCCCAAAGTCATGGGCCGCCCCCAGATTGGGTATGAGCTTGCTCCCAAAGAACAAAGTCAAGGTTATCATTTTTGCATTTGTACAGAATTAAATAGTTTCGACCACAAACCACAGCTGACAAAAGTGGATTCAAATTACATACTTTAATATTGCCTCCAAGAATGTTTATATTATCAACAATGGCTTGGATTATAGATTCAAGAAAATAGCCTCTCAAGGGTGAGAACTAAGCAATATATTACCAAATCATACGTGAGCGATTCATTCTTCTCAGCTGGCATTCGAAAAAACATAAAACTAATAATCCAATCGCTCAGCCCGTGGCATGCAACTGTTGTGCAGATTTTTAAATAATACCTAGAAGCCCCCAGCCTGCCTTGCATTACAGATACTGGTATAGCGTTAAAGTCTAAATAAGCCAGGAAAAGGATGACACTTAGAGGATTCTAAAGCAGTGTTGGGACAGAGCAAGAACTCTCGTCCAGCCTAGGAAGCCTAATGGCAGGCCTGCCCCTAATTATGTGGGGCCCCAGGACCAAGTACAAAGCAGACCCATTTGTCATATATCTACACATTTAAAAGTTATACAGCAAGATAAAAAGCAAACACATAAAATACATCCTATTGCCCCACCTTGCTGAAGGTGGGCCCCGGGGGATCAAATATTCCCTGGGGGGCTGGGGGGTGGGAATGAGGGATTTGTTGGAGGCAAGGGTGAGGGTTCTTTCTAAACTGATTTAACAGGATTCTGGCTCCACCTGGGGAGATAGGCCCCACAAGGACGGACACTGGAGGCCCGGCCTGGAGGCCGGAGGGGCCTGCCTGGAGTTCGTTCCATCAGGGAGAGTCTCTGTGAAGAGGACAGCCCAGCCTGAGGGCTTGTTCGAGGACACTGGGGCCCAGCTCTAAAGTGCTTCTGCTTCTGAGTCCGTGGTTCCAGGTGATTCCCTGGGGTCAGGCCTGAGAGGTCACTTGTGTCTGCAGTGCTTGTGTGCCACTTGTTCTCAGGGTCCCTAAGGGCCTAGTCACGGGACTGGTCTCAAGTCTGCAGAGTGGGTCAGCGAGGACACATCAGAGCGTCTGGCAGCGTGGCTGGATCACCGTAAGACTCTCTCCAAGGTTGACTTCCCGTCCGTTCAGATTCTCTCCGCGGTGCTGGCCTTTGGACCTGGAGTCGCTTGGTCCACCATGGGCCACCTCCTTTGCATGAGGGGAGTTTATTGTAAGAGAGAGAACTGAGAGGAAATTCTCTTAAGACCTTCTGACAGAAGCAGAAGAATATATCCTTTATTTCGGTAAAATTATCTGTTTTAGCCAAATTAGGGAAAATCTTTACTGAATCAAGTGTTTGCATTTTTAAGAAGTTAATTTAAGCTAAGTATACCATTTGATCATTGGAAACTGAAAGCAAATTCAATCTTTAGGGAATGGAGACAGTAATTTGGAAAGAATAGTCAATATAAATATTTTGATATAAAATATCGGGGAGGAAATAAGAATATTACATCTAATATTGATTTTTAAGTATCTTCTATGTTCTCTTATTTTCTCTTACTATTCTTTTTTTTGTGTACTCGCTTTTAACAAAAAATCATTATTGATAGATAGAACTGATATGGACTTATATTTTGAGTATGTATCAATACTGTACAGCTAATGTACTAACGCGATTTGCTGAGGAGACAGACAATCCCTTGCTGAATGTCAGTGGAGATAAGGAGGCTGGAAGAGAGAAAGGCTCAGGGCCTTTGAACTGGGACAAGGTAGGAACTCATCGTGGTGAACAGACGGTTCTTTCCACGTAGGGGTCCTATTATCTCAGGATGATCGTAATGGATGGCCTGGACACAAGGAACTTGGGAAAAGAAGCCTGAAGCTCTGGGACGCTTGAGAAATGTGTTTGCACACACCTCACTGTAGCCTAATTTGTTTATGATAGCTTGCAGCACAAAAAGGTAAAATGGACAAGTCTGGGATCAAGCCAGATGTGACAGATGGGTGAGTAACAAAAAATAGGTTTTCTAGAGACTGAAATTCGCTGTTCTTCCTAATCTCTGATTATCATAACTTCCAATGTTATGAATCATTACTTATTGATCGGCCTAAGTGCACTTCTTGTACTGTGATAGCAAAGCATGATCGTATCTGTTCCCCAAACCTCATAAACGGAGAAGACTATGTAAAAAGCTATCTTTATTTTTGTGCAATTAAATGTAACACCACGTAAGGCACTATGTGCACGAGCAGAGATATTACACCATTGACAGAGAGTTAGCTTGCCATATAAACGAAGCACATATCAAGTTTATACAGGTTACAAAACCATTAGCACTGATGGCTTTTAAGGAGACCGTCCACCATGACTCATGCTTTGCTCATTTGTGCCATTTTGAAATGCAGTATTCTTAATTGATGTAATGCACCACAAGTTTCAACGGTTTTCAGCATAGGGAACACATAATTCCACTGTAATTTGAGTATGCTATTCTAAATGATTAATTGGATTTTCTTGTAAGGTTGCACAAGAATTTTTGATGTAAGAAGGTTATCCACATTCTATGTAAGAATAAAAAGGCACTGTAAATTAACGGTACCATAATGGGAAGAGGCAGATAATAAGATGATCATCTACTCTCAACAAGTAGAATCTGTTTTTAAATTGCATATGTTTATAGGTAAAAGCAAAATAAAGTGAAAACAGAAGCAGACACACACACGACTCTAATGCCCAGTCACTTTTAACAGGAGTGTACATGTAAATTAAACTCTAAATGTGATGTCATAATCAGCTTGCTGAGGTAGACATCCAGCTGATTCAGGAAAGGCACAGGGAACTCTCATTCTTGTGTGCTCTCACTGGTTCCAGAAATGTCACTGGTTCAATCAACCCTTTACTTAAGGAGTGATGCTTTTTAATCCAAATGAAAGCTCATTAATCACTGGCACATTGATCTCTTCTCAATATCTTTCTTTCTTGTCTTCTTCAGCTGCAAGAACACGGTGAAACTGGTTTGGCAGAAAGAAGAGAGACAGAAATTTCAGAGTAGTAGGAAATATCAGGGAGCTGGAAGAGTGTGGCTTTGATAATATACGGAGTCAGGAAAGATGAAAGTAATTAGCTAAGATGAGCAGGAGGCACTTTATTATAGAAGATTATGGTCAAGAATTCACCTAATTGGAAGGCAATCTGAAAAAGGAGATGGTGGTCCTCAATATGGTGATTCTTGCTGTTCTTAACTGAAGATGCTGGCAGGGGAACGTCCCAGGTACAGAGCAGGTAGGGCTCCCACTTTCCTTAAGGCTGAAACAACAGAGTTGGGGAAACCGGAGCCTCTCAGACTTGAGTGTGGATGCCCGTCACCCGGAACCTGGTGAACACTTCCATTCCGGATCAGAAGGCCTGGGGCGGGGGCCTGAGGGTGGGCTAGTCTAAGCAACTCCAAGGTGGGAGATGCTGGTGGTCCCAAGACGACATTTGAGTGGCAAAGACCTGACTATTTGAGAGATGGAGCGAATGCAGGTCTTCAGTATTCGCATCTAAGGACACATGTAGATGCAGGCGTTCTCGCGGGTAAGATGCTCACTGGCAGTGCTCTCGCCCAGTACCCGCAGGGGTAGAGGCTTCAATGCGTTACCAGCACGAAAGTTTAAGGATCAAAACCTCTTACTAGAACCATTTTATTCATTCTCGTCTCCCTTTAGCTCAAGGTCAAAACTTAACTATAAAAAAAATGAAATACTAATGGAGAAAGTCACCCTAAGCCTGTCATTTCTTTCTATCATGTAGTCACATGAGAACTTAGCTCTTACGAACACCTTGTAAAAGCATTTCACAAGGTATGCCCATCAAAACTACATATTTCAGTGTGCCTGTTTATGGACTTCAAAATGTGTTTCTTGGTTTAAAAGATCAACTCCCTTGTGGGATATTTGGTCACAAAATTAGGAAAGAGACCCAGCTATGTAGATTTTGGCAATTAAAAAACATAAACTATACTTTGGGAACAATTTTTTATATAAAAACTACTTGAGGTAATATGTAAAGGATTAGAAGTGGTATTGACTTTTGTTGTGAAGACTCAAGATATTTTGGAGGAGTAACATATGATGCTCCCCATTTTTTAACAATGAAAGACCCTGTCCTCCTCTCTCTCTCCCTCTCCTTTTCTCTCTTCTGCTCCCTCCTTCTCTCCCTCTCTCCCATTCTCTCTCTGGTTCTCCTTTTAAACAAGTTTTCACGGAAGACACTCAGTGCTAATGGACAGGCGTCTGTGCAGGCCCTTGGAAGGTGTGTGGCTAATACCAGGATTGAACGCAGAAAACACTGATGGTGATTTTCTCTTGACATTTTTCCTCTCTTCTCCCATATTTGAATTTTGGAATACCCTCGTCTCCCTGTGTCGGCACAGTCCACTGCTGGCCAACAGTTTGCCTGTACAGAGGCCACAGTTGTCTTCGGTCGTAGTTCAGAGAGGCTCTGGAGTAACCACAGAGTGACACTGTGAAATGACTGTGGAAAACTGCGCGGTGTGTCATGACATTTCATAATAGAGACCTGCAGTTCTCATGGCTCTATCTAAGCCCCTAAGAAGGAGGGGAAAATGGTGTTTTGACAGACATGGCAGCTTGAGATGTACAATCAGGATGGTATAAACTCAGCCATGTAGAAAGTTATCAGACGTTCCAGTCCGTGCCCCATGAAATTGGCACAAATCATCTGGATTTGACTTGAGGAGGGCGGTTAGGAGGAACATGAGTGTGCAAACGAGGGGTAATGGCCACGCCGTGACCTGACCTGTGTCACAGGGCAACACTGGTGTCAGGCAAGAATCAAATAAAGATGAATGAGTGTCTCTGGGTGCGGGCTCTGCCTCGTTGGGCCCCATTTCATTATACAGCAAAGCAGTGGTAGAGAAATGAACAGAGCAGCCGCACACAGTACAGAGTAGAAAAATAAAACAGTGCAACTCACAGTAGACTTGAGTGTGAGGAAGCATCCGCCCCACTGGACACTGTCTTCTGAAACCTTATTCCTAATGAGAAAGGGACGAAATCATGTACTGGCCAAACACAGCCCTTTGTGTCTACAGAGTGGGAGACGGACCGAGGATGGCGCTGAGCGCTCACTGCACAGCTGGGACATTTCTCGTCTCTCTGTCCCCACAAGTCTTCCCTCAAGGGTCATAAATATTTTAATCAATTGTATTCTTGTTTTCAATTCTTGGCATGTCATTCTCCAAGGCGAAGTCAACGGGTGCAGCAATGTCCACCCACTGTGCACACATTTGCTCTACTTTGGAATAAGACCGCCTCTTAAAATGTGTTCAGAATAATGCAGGTATTAACAGTGGGAGGGATCCAGGCTCACTAAGTTCAGAACTGATCCGAGGTGATCCCCACCCAGGGTCCGCCAGGAGAAAAGTGAGGCTGCTCCCTGCCCACAGGGGATGACAAAAGCGGGATCTAGACCCCTGAGCCTTGTGTGGCTTTCACAGCTTCTTTCCTTAGAAAATTGTTGCACCTCCATTATGCATGCATATATCTTTGGGAAGGTCATTGGACTAGCAGCAGTCACTCAGGACTTTTCATAAGCAAAACTGCTTTCAGCTTTTCACATAAATTCCCCCTGAGCTCCTCTGTGGGGATGACAGACCTTCTCAACACTACACACGCAGCCCAGGCCAGCTCACGGCCTGGTCACGGCTTTGTTCCCAGGCAGACACATACGCACCTTGGGGACTGAAGGGCAGTGTGGAGCGACTGTGGGCCTCGGTGTCACACATCTAAATCGCCCTGACCAGGGAACGCAGGTCATAGGATGCAGCTGCCTGGGACTTGGAACCAAAGGCTCCTGAACTCCAACTCTGGGCTGCTCGCATCCTCTGCCTCTTTTTACATTTTTTAACACTTTTTTCCGCTTTATTGAGACACAATTGACAGGTAACGTTGTGTAAGTTTAAGGCACACAACATAATGGTTTGATCTACGTATATATTATGAAATGATTGCCACACTAAGTTTAGCTGACACTCATCACCTCACATAGTTACATTTTCTTTTTGTGATGAGAACTTTTAAGATCTACTCTCTTAGCAGGTTTTAAATACGCCATACAGCAGTGTTAACCATAGTCACCGTGCTGTACGTTACCTGTCCAGAACCTATTTATATTTTAACTGGAGGTTTGTACCTTTTGACCATCTTCATCCATTTTGCCTATTCTTAAGCCTCATAACCACACCCCAGGTGGGTACTGATATCCTCCTGTCACAAATGGAAAAATAGAGCCTTGGACCGATTTGGTACTTGCATCAGCGACCCACTAGCAGCGACCTTAAGAGCAAAGGCGTGAAGCCAGGCCTGACTTACCCACTGTGGGCCAGGACCACTGGCTGAGCTGCTGGGCAATTGCGTACACCTTGAAGACACCCCAACGAAACTATAGGCAGGGGAGTAGGCTACTGGATTCACCCTTCTCTTAACTTGCTTGTCAACACACAGGCACACATCATACATCCATGTGCATACACACATATACAAAGGAACATACATATATATTCACAAGAGCAGAAAATGTCCTTCAATAGAAAAATCAACTAGCCACATGTTTCATCACAAAGTAATCCTCGTGAATGATTGGCTATTAAAGAAATAGACGTTTGAAAGATGCTGGTTCTTTCAAAGACGTTGTGTCTGATGACGGCAGTGGGTTTGCTTGAAAATGGATGAGCAGTCTTTCCCATTCTGTGCTACCCTCCCCCTTCCTCACTGGTCTTTAAAATCTCTGTTCAAAGAGCATGAAAATGCTGAATGAGTAGAAATTGGGTAACAGAACACAAGAATCATAGATCACGGGAAACGTTTTATATAAGACAACAAACGCAGCACAGCTCACTGTGGAGTGCGATGCTTAGGAGCATCCATCTGGGAGCAGAAGCGCTTCCAGGAGGGGTCTTGGGGTCACTGCAGACAGGTCACCAGACCTGGGAAACGCAGGGCCATTGAACTCGCTGTACAACGTAAGGCACAGCGGGCCACATCTGCTCTTTGAATTCAGCTAATTCACTGTGGGTTTTTGTTTGAATTTAGGTCATCTAGTCTTACTCACCTTATAAGGAGAAATGAAAGTTTAAGGTAATTAGGGAGACGCCCAGTCGAACTCGCTCCTGCTCAAATTCCCTTCTACTGATTGTGCACCCGTGGTGGCATGCACATATAAAAGGAAGTAAGGACTCCCCAGCTTCTCTCTACACGCCCAGAGAAGCCAACATCAGGATGTTCTGAAAAGATATTCAGCACTCTTCTTAAATAATCTTAGATGTAAGACTACATATATATAAATGAAATAACAATAACCAACATTGCACTTGATACAGCAAATAGACGCATGTTACTCAGCTGCATGGGGTTTGTAAAAGGGTGAGTCCGTCCATCGCCGGGGCCGCGTGTGCCAGGTGTCGGCTGGGTTTGGATGAGGGTGATGATCCCGAGGAAGGGCGGGGCCTGGCCAAGCCAACGCGGATGTGACACACCTGTATGTCCTTTGGTACTTTTGCCATTAACACCTTTCAGCTCTTCCGAATCTTTCTTCTCCCTTTGCTCCCTCCTCCACAGCTATGTGGTCTCCCTAAAACAGAAATGTCATCCCACCGTTTAAACCTCTCATCTTTGTAGCATAAGACTAGGATTCAATGTACCTTTTATGACAGGTGGAAGAGTGAATAACATCTTTATCAAAATGCTATTGTATTTTAAAAGTCCAGGCTTAAACATATACAGAGAAAGCACTAGAAAGGCCTTTTGGATCATATTAGAAGCATCTTCAGTCCCCCAAAATTTCATTTTTAACACCCTGGAGCAACCACCCTTGGAAATTCATTCCTCTCAGTTAAGGAATTGCTCCCATTCAAATGCAAAAATCCTAAGAAAGCCAGCACATTAAGTACTTATCAGTAATTAACACCTCATCCTGAATTAGTCTATCAGATCCTTCTTTGTTACAGCTGATAGCAGCTCATTTCAACCCAGGGAACAGAAACTCCTGGAAGGCAGGGGCTGGTGTGGCATCTTTCAATGTAGGGCTTGGCCGGGTAGTAATAGATATTTATTGAATGAATGAGAGGTGAATGAATGAATGAACAAATGAATGACTCAACGTGGTAAAGGGTAGAATAGGAAGACCCAGAATTTGTGCTTCAATCCTTTGGAGGATTGGTAAGGATAACGTGAAGTTCTTTCTATTTACAATCCATGGTAATTTACAAATCCTGTTGGGAGCATCTGGGCATCTCGTCTTCAAAATGACAGGACAGCAGTTCCAGCCTCACTTCGGGCTGAGACAAATACATACCCTTCCTTTTTAGCTGGGATGCAGCCAGAAGCAGAGTCTGCACGGTGGGGGGCAGCAAAGCAAAGGGCCTTTCTTAGAAGACAGTGCCCAGTATGCAGGGGGCAGGGACAGGCTGACTGTGGCATTTTTTTAGTGTTTCAGGGCCAAGCACAGTTTTTAACTTCAGCGAGTATCTGAAACAACTGGTCTTAAAACTCAGTGGGCTTATTCTCAGGAACTCC